GAGAATAGATGACTGAGCAATATGGGAAAGTCGGACGCTTGTTTAATAATCGAATTCGGAATCGCGTCCGTTCCTGAGCAGTGTGAGTATTTCAAACGGCTTATGTGTTTCTTAATGAGATCTGAGGAGACATCAATTGTACTAAGTGTCCTATCTGAAAGTGATCGAAAGTAAGAGACCGGATCGGACTCGGTAGCAAGGTGTTTTGCAAAGAAAGCACTAAACAACTCCGCCTTGTCAGTGTCATCGGTGAGGAAGACTTTGTTATCATTTAGCATGGGTGGAAGTTCGTGACCACGCTTAGAGGATGACCGATGACGGAGGATGTTAGCGACGGATTTGCCAGGGTTCGAACCGCTGAGAGCAATTGATTCTCTTTGCCTGTCGCGCGCTTGGCGCATCCTTGAGGCCATCTCAAAAATCTCTGTGATTCTAAGATGAACAGATAAGGAACTAGTGGATGGGTCACGCAGTTGTCGCCGCAACTTTTTTTAGTCTGTTCTGAAGAAAATGAGGAACAAGGGAGTATGAAGTATTAGGCTTGAGATATCTACGCGGCAAAAACTCTAGAATGTCCATGGAAACATTGGACATGACTTCACGAAGAATGGTTACCTCGCTACAAGTGAGGAAGCCACACCAATCCAAGGATCTCATATAGTTATTTATTAAGTCGCTATCTACGCGGTCGTCGTTCATGAAAGTCTGAACGGCGCTGGTCTTTTTTGAAAAGGCAAGCGGTAAGCAACAATGAATTAATACGTGGTCACTGTCAAAGAGGTCCTTTTTAAAGCAACAGAAAGAGGAGCAATGTCATTGGTAAAGATTAGATCTAAAATGTGATTATCTCTTGTTGGAGAGCGCACCAGTTGGGACCAATTAGAAAAATTGACAATATCTTGAAAGCGCTGGAATCTGGGTGGGCAGCTATTGGAAACCCAGTCTATTTCAGGGAGGTTAAAATCCCCAGTTATTATTTTAACATCCAAAGCAGCTTCCGAAATTAATTTAAAGATTTCACAGAGTTGTGAATCATCACTGGCTAAAGAATTTGGGGGATTGTAGATACAGCCAATAATTGCCTTTCTTCGCGGAGAGAGAATAACAGATGCAAAGCAGAAGTTTCCCGTGAATGAGGAAACATCCTAGTAATAGGGAGTGTGCTTTAGGTAGGATTTAAGATAAAGAAGACAACCACCCCCACGCCTAGTCGTGCGGTCTTGGCGGTAAAAATCGAAGTCATCTATGAGAAGGGCAGAGTCAGGAATTAGAGAATGGGTCCAAGATTCTGTTACACATATAATATCAGGCGTCATTTCCAGAGCAATGGCTCTGATTTGGGCCATCTTGTTTATAACTGACCTGGCATTCAATAATATAATATCTAATGTGTTTCGAACGGCAATGCTATTTTCGACGGTATTTTAAAAAAATTTGGAGGCGGATATGTAAGCTGTGAATTAATGACACTTGGAGAATAAGTACCAGTTAATTTAGAGTTAATGACGTACGGGGAGTCAACAGGAGAAGGCTGAGTATGAGACCTAGAGGAGGTGGGGATATAGTTTTCAAACATTGGAATGCTAGGGGAGTTAGAACATGGATAGACTTGTTGGTAGTTAAATAATGGAGGAAGGGGAGGAGGAGGGAGGCTAGAAGGAAAGTAGGGGCTAATGGGTGAGGATAGGCCGCTATAAGAATGAAATGGTGGGAAACCAGGTCTAGGTTGGAAGTCAAAGGAGATAGGTTGACGTACCTGAGAGCAATTGGCCTTAAGTGGTGGGAAGCCTGAACTAGGTTGGGGCATAAATGATCTAGGGCAATCCATGTATGAATTATTTGCTGGATATATAGTAGGGCTTTGATAAGTAACCGGTACGCAGGACAGAGAATTATTCAAGGATATAATTGGAGCTGCGTGGTTTGTACACGTGCTGGGCTGAACAGACTTATAAGATCTAAGAGAAGGCGTCGTACCCATAAACGGAACTCTACTACCTATCTTTTGGGTCGGAGTCTGATTCAATTTTCGAATCTCACCGTTCTGACGCCAAGCCACGGGTGACTTAGCTGTAGACCTTACAGCACCCAGTTGGACAATAGAAGTTATCGGTCTAGCTGATGTAGACGGATTTTCATGTGTCTCAGCGGGACTATCCGGAGGATACGAAACGACAAATGGGGCTGCTGCTGCTGCTGCTGCTAGTTTAGGGGCAGGCAAATGCGTCAAGTGGCTCGAGTGAGATGGAGATGTAGGAGAAAGAGGAAGGAGGGAGTCAGATGTCGCAGGAGTAGGAGAAGCTGAATCCTTACGGCCACTTGTATTATGACCGAGTTGGGGAGCATTAGACTGAGAAGCAGTGGGTTTACGTGAGAATCAAGACCCGATTCTACGCTCCATAGGAGTAAGATCATGACAAAGGAAAAATTTTGC